GGAACAAAATAAAATACTTTAAAGCTCTTCTCTTAGCTTTTAGGTTTTTTAGACTTTCAGTTTTTTAAAAACTGTCTTAACCATGTGACACTGAGAACAAACAGTGCATGGAGGCCATGTTTAAAAGCTGCAGGGCATCACAAAAGACACCGTTAAATTGGACAAAGTCTGTAGTTGATGATTTTTATATAAAATCTGATCATATGGGGCTTGTCAAAGATAAGTAAATCTCCTGTTACAGGGAAAACAAAATTTATTAGTAACTCTTCTTCCTTAAACCAAATTGAAGAGGAAAACATAGACATATTCATTCTGAAGTTTTGCAGAATTGGGATTTCTACTGGGAAATGTCCTGCTACTGGTTTTCCAGTCCTGATGATGGACAAACATAACTAGTGGCATTGAAGGTGCATTTCAACATGATGCTCCTTTCTTCTGTCCTGGTAGCACACTATTATGGAAAGCGGAAAAACAAGCGGATAGGTAGGCCTCCGGGTGGCCACAGTAACCTGGAAGTAGCCATGAAGAAACCAAATAAAAGAAGGAAGAGACGAAAACATTTTTTTGTTCATAAGAAAAAACGTTCTTCTACTTCAGTGGATAACACTCCAGCTGGATCTCCCCAGGTATGAGACTGACAACACCTTTAACAGATACAGTATGTGATCATGGACCAGCTTCATTTGAAACAACAAACAGTTCGTTCCTTGTAACCTCAGGTTACTGCAAATACATGGATGGCAATTGTAGTTTTTGTCCTAAACTTCCTATTTCTGATTTTGTTCCTTTTTTATTTTTTTCCTACTTTCCAGGGCAGTGGGGGAGAAGAGGAAGATGACCAGGATGAGGTAGATGAAGAATCTTTGACTGAGGATAGCACCTCAGAGCAGCAAGATGAATTACTTGAGGAATCAGAGGTATCAGAGAAGAAATCACTCTCGTCCTCTCCTTCACAGAGTGAGCTGTCTCATTCTCTGGCTCAGGACCGAGACAAGCGGAAGAGGAAGCTTAGGACCTTTTCTTTTTCTGATGATGAAAATAAGCCTCCTTCACCGAAGGTAATTCTGAAAATACATTAGTGTCCTTTCTGAGTGTTAGGTAAGCACAAAAATCTTGGGGCTATTAACCATCACATGTGTATTTTTATAAAATACTCCATTATCCCATAAGGGCATTGTGAAGACACTGCAGAATAATTAAAAATCACAATTGCTATTACAGTCATGTTACAAGACTGTAATACAGACTAAACAGAAAGCTGTAGGCAAAATGGGGAGCTTTCCACTTCCCAGCTGTTAGCCATCCTTGGTTCAACTTCAGCAGTGCCAAGTCCTGGTTTTAGATCACTGCTTACTGGCTGTGAGGATGTGACCTCCACCTGCAGCACAGTGCTGTCTGCACATCTCTTAACCACAGAGTAAGTACAGTTTGGAGCTCTCGTTAATGCTTCATTTGGCAGCTGAACATCAGGAGTGGAGGCGAGCAGAGGGGTCCATGCCTTCTGTAATATTTTAGTTCTTTTTGTGCCGGGTGGCTTGTCTAGGAGATAAAGATTGAAGTTGCTGAAAAGCTGCAGCTGGACAGTAACCCTCTGGAATGGAGCGTGGCTGACGTTGTGAGATTCCTCAAATCTACTGACTGTGCACCACTGGCAAGAATATTCCTCGACCAGGTACGATTTTCTGTTAAAGTGTTGAAGCCCTGTTACTTGGCTACAAAAAGAAGCTAGTTTAAATTGTATAGTAGGGTTCTGAAGAAAAAAAAAACAAAAAAAAAAACGCATGCACAACTTGCTGTAGTTTGGGAAAGGAGGGTTAAGTGAATGGACACAATTGTGTTTGGGTTTCTTAGTACTCAGTGGAGGAGGTTTTAGTCTGTGAGGCATCAGAATCCCAAAACCACAGAAAATGCCCACAGTTAAGCACCACAAAAGTAACAGCTGATTTTTTAGGTGATACTGCAACTTGAGTTGAGGACTCCAAATGATAAATGTTTTCCATTCTTCAGACTTAACTGCAGGTGTCATAATGTTGTATGCAACAAGTGAACAATTCTGTGTTAAAGTATGATGACTAAAGTAAAAATATAAGTCAAATGATGCATCTTAGTTAAAATTTGCCACAAAAAATATCATCTATCAAGACTAGTGCTGGAACTGGTGCTGAATATGGTTTATGATAGATGTTACAGAAGATATACTTTGCCTTGTAGAACATCTGTTTCTATAGAATGATTAGAAGTTAGGTAAAATGACTTTCTGTCTGAAATTTCCTTCATTTCTATTGTTGGGTTGATTTAAAAATAGCCTCTCATGAGGTTCTGTCCCTTAAGTACTGAACTTGAGCTAGCATTTTAAGAAAGGAATTAAATTGCTAGTAAGAAATAAAGGTTCTTAAGTTACCTGGAGTAGCGTGGAAGAAACTACTAATTCACGAACACCTATGAATCTGAAATGACAGCAAGTCAAAGCTGCAGGGGGATGAAGAACAAAAATGCAAAGTCACTATGGAGATTTTGTCTTCTGACAGGAAATTGATGGCCAGGCACTGCTGCTGCTGACCCTGCCCACCGTTCAGGAGTGCATGGACTTGAAACTTGGGCCAGCTATTAAACTTTGCCATCACATTGAGAGGGTCAAACTTGCTTTTTACCAGCAGTTTGCTAACTAAGGAGCTGCCAAGTTGAAGTGGACCTTTGAAGCACAACCACAACTCTATGCTCCTTTCCCTCCAGCGAGGAAAGCCAAATGAAGCTGAACTGGGGCTCTGGCAACCTGAGAGAATCTGTCAGCCTCGGTTTTTCACTTTGAAAAAAGAAGACAACATCTGGAGCAAAATGCCAATGCAAACTTGGGCTACTCTGCCAGCTGCCAGCTTGGGAACACAATAGTCTCTTGCTCTATGGTTCCCTTTTTTTAATGTATTTTTTAATGATTACAGAAAAGTCTCCTCTGGTGGGAAGTGACATTTCAATAGTTCTGGTGGCACAGAACTTTAAAAGGAGAAACGGATCCTGTTTACGTTCGCATGCAGGCTGCCAGAAATAACTTTCTCTGTTCCTGGTGATTCACAGAATCCCCATCCCCTCCTGTGGACGAACATTTGCTTTACCACAGCACTGGCTTTGGAATGTGCTCTTTGCACATTCGTGTGTTACTGTTGAGTTTTTAAATGAATTTGTTCATTGTTAGGACAACAACGTGGCCACAGGGTTCTGAATGTACAGTATAACAAGAGTGTGGTTCTTTTTTGTTTTGTTTTGTTGTTTCATTATTGTTGGGTTTTTGTTTTGTTCTGTTTTTACTACCTCTGTAGCCTGAACAGTAGAAGTGATTAATTAAAAAGGGAGGGAACTGTTTCTTCTGGACAAATCGTAGGTCGCTGCACAGCAGTCTCTCTTCTGTAAGCATGCCATAAGTACAAACCCATATCAGCATACAGAGCTTCTGTCCCCAAGCTTTAGCTGAAACTTCTGGAGGCTTAGCTTGGGTGTTACCTATTTCTCAGATGTCAGAAAACGTAATTACTTTGCACTTCTCTTACAGATGGGCTGTAGGAAAAAAAAAAGAAGGAAAGAGAAAGTGCCTCTGCATTTCCTATACTTTGGTTTCCAGATAAAATTTCTTTTACTTTTTTTCCCCCTTTAGAATTCTGTGAAGTTGTTTCCTTTTTCTTACACCAAACAATCGGGCCATGTACACAGAGCCTGTAGCAGCTTTTTGCTTTTCTCCTTGTACATCTCTTCATAGAATACACTAAAAAAGCTGCAATCAATGGAGGACTGCTCTGCCACCGTTTGCTTACTGAAAATTATCTTACAAGTATGACTTTGTATTTTTAACTACTTACAGCTGCTCAGGATCAGACTTGATGAACAGTGGGGGGGGGGGAGGGGGAAGAGGGTTTTTTTGTGCTTTTTCTGGGGAAAAGGAGCATAGGGACATCTAGTTCCATCAGTAGACCCACTGTATGATGAACTGCTGATTTTAATTTTCCAGGGTAATTAAACCCATTCAGCCACTTGCCGTGGACCTCTGTGTCACACTTTAAGTAACAGGGCTTACCTTACATTCCATTAAAGATGTGGGAAATTTGCATCAGACTTGAGATCTGCTTCAAATATGCATTAGGTTTCAGGTGGTTTGCATTCATTTGCTTTTGCCTGTTCTCATGAGTGTTTGGAGGAGCATGGGCTGGAGCTTTATAAAGCAAGAGTGCAGCCCTTCTCCTTTCTCATTCAATTGCATTTTTACAGAAAGCCCCTGGCAAACAAGGTGCCTGAGGTAGGAAATTCACTGCATGAATTTGTTTTAGGAAGGACATGTGCACTGATTCCTGATCAGCAGTGGATACTTGGTCACATGGAGTGATTCAAGCTCTCTTCACCCTAAAATGATAGGATATCTTCATGCTGTGAGCTGTAGGATTCAGTGAGGAGGTCACGTGTAAAGCAAGAGCTAAGCTTGCACAGTCTGTGTCTGTATCCAGCACATGGGTGTTGAGAGGAGCTACCTCCAATACAAACCGTGTATAGAGTAAGCAAAGCAAAATAGTTGGTGTTTTTTTTTAGTTTCTTTTGCTATATTATCCACTTAGAATAACTGCCTTGTAGAGACAGAACTGTTTAGGGCAGTCCTAAATTAAAAGTTGCCTTTTTTTTTTTTGAATCAAAATACCAATATTGATTCTAATATGACAGTTGTCATATGTCTAATATGACAGTTTATGGCTAATATGTCCATTGTCTAGTTGTCAGTTGTCTAATATGATGGTTTACTAGCTCAGTAGTTTTGATTGAGGGAGGGCAGGCAGCGTGTGACTAGAGCAATTTTTCTTCTCAGATTATAAAAGAGTCTGAAAACAGTTAAATTGAAATCAGAGTGCCCCCTTTTTTTTTTCTCCACACCATATATGTGGCCAATAAATGGACGTTTTTTCTCTTTGTGTTATGCCAAGGTCATCCTTCTGTACTCCATTCCTTTAGTTACAAACTCAGTGGTAAAACATTAGGCATGGTTTTTTATTTTTTTTTTTGAAAGAAACATTGCTGCTTTGTTGTCAGTGTCTTGTCTGGAGAAAATTGCCCTGCAATTCCAACTTCTGGGCTGGAAGATGCTTTTGGATCACATCTGTCATTCTTCAGGGATTCCAGAATTCTTTTGCACTGTTACAGAAGCTGATGCCCAGCAGAATTGATCTGCATAACCAAGAGATGTTAATTCCACTTTTCCCAACGGACAGATAGGTGTCTTCCTGAGTAGCTGTTAGGAGAGAATAGACCTTAAAGGGTAATGTAGTGAACCTGTTAACATGGCACCTAAAATTTAAATACAAAAGTCATACTTCTTTTTCTCAGCAAACAAAGCAGTGAGCAGTTTCAGAGGTTAGTGGGATACTTACTGGTCACCTTTGGCATGTTTTATAGGCTAGATATTTCTGCCTTGTTTTGGGAGGCACTGACAGTCTGGTCCCAATGGGATCCGTTTTTGTTGAGATTTTCAAAAGGGATGTTTTCATTATTTGTGAAATGTTTTTATGCTGCACATGGGTACTGTACACTCTGTTTCCTGGGGAAAAAAAAAAAAAGCACTCATTGCTGGATTTTAAAAGGGATAATTGGGGCTTTATCGTGATGGATGATGTTTCTACTAGGCTGTTTCAAGTTCCTCTTCTTCTGTGTGTGGCAGATGACAACTGCACTTACGTTTGTTCATCTTACACCAACATAACTTGAAATCAGCTCACATGCTGCTTTAGTTGCTCTCTTTCTTCAGAACTGGAGTTTTGGTAGCTCAATGCCTGAATCTTGGCTTTAGATGATACCTGTGTTTCCCCAGCAGGAGTTGCTGGGACTTTGGTAATTAACTTAGGCTTCAGGGGGTTAAGCTGTCCTCTACCATTTACATTCATCCTAAGATATGACAAAGCTGGAGTCCAGCTTCCTGGACCTGGAAATGTTTTCATTACAAGAAAATGAGCTCTCCTTTGGGCATAATGTACTGTTTATGTGTGTGAAAAAAAGGAAATACTGCTTAGTTTATATTCTTGAGAGCTTATATTCTTGTCTTATTTTTATATGCATTGTGTAGTCTTGGTTTGCACATCATAGCTTTAGAAACATGGTGGTGCCTCCACGTGGCTCTCGTACTGTGCTATGCTTAGCCTTGCCGGGCAGAAAGATTTTGTTGAGTTACTACAGTTTGCTCTCTGCATCAACACAAGGAGCCCATAGCAGAGAAGTATTTGACAAAAATGTCGCTGAAGGGTAATGTGGTAAATTGATCCCCCAAGGCATGAGCAGCAACTGAAGGTGACCTTTCCGGGAGAGGAGAGGTACAGCACAGATCTTGGTGAACGAAGACTACTTTTTTCTAATGCTAAACCCTTGTCAAAGTTGATCTTTGAGGAAAGAAAGAAAAGGCAAATTTGTTTACATGTTGTGTAGAGCACCAGGGGTGTTTGCAGTCTCTCCTGGGATTAAGGGAAACAGTACAGAGTTTGCAGTGGTGGTTAGGATTATTTTCCCTTGTCACAACTTTCAGCACTATTTCATTGTTGCTTTACACTTAGCTGGGGTTTATTCTTGATTCCAGTGATGCTTTAAGTGAGGGAAGAAGGATTTAGCTGCTAGGTCCACAGAAGTGTGAATATATTTACAGCTGATTGGACCGAGCACTCCAATCTTCTGCATAAAGTACAAAGACATGGCAAAAGGAAAAGAGATTTTTGAATGTAATTGAATAGGCTTCATAACTGTCAAACTCAAACTGGAGACTGGATACCTTTGGACCAAATCTATTGCTAGGGGAGAAGCTCTTACCCAAAAGCCAAAAACACGATAGATAGATAGATAGTAAGCTACTCCTTAACCGGTCCTGTTGCTTAGTGGCAGACTGGTTACTGCCTACTGTGAGCTCAAATTGCTACAACTAAGCACAAAGACATAGGCTCTGTCAGGAGACTTCAAGCATTGGCTGAAGGCTCCATTTTAAAGGGATCGTGTGCTGAATCCAAATTTTAGAGTGCTGCCAAACTTCCCCAAATGTGCACATAGCCTTGTTTTCAAAGGCAGCCTTATGGGTGAAGGATTAGGAGGGGACTTGGGAACACCAGGTACAGCAAGCCCCTCTATTGTTACATGTTTTTCTAAAATGATAATAATCTGTATGAAATCTAGCGAAAACAATTTACGGCTGGTGTCACTTTGTCTCCCTGGTCTGGTGATTTCTAGCTTTCTCATAGTTGCGTCTGTTGTCCTGAAGTGCACCAGGCAATAAGGAAGGACGTTTTGACGAGAAGACAAAGTTCCTATGTTAAGTGCAAAGCCAGCAGTGGTTGGCTCAGCTTTAAGCCATGGAAGCGAGCAGGTCTTGCGCTGACAAAATTCAGAGGCGGTAGGTCTGGCTGACTCAGCACAACCATGGGCACGGAGCCTGTGGAAGTCCTCCACCATTGTGCCATTCAGGAGGAACAGGCCTTCTGCTCGAGTCACAGGCATGGCTCGCTCAAGTCAATGAACAACGAAGTCCGGGCAAAAATGAGTTCTTGCCCACCCCAAAAGTTGTTGAGCGCCAGTTTCCAAGAAACCTCTTGGAAAAAAATATTTTTTCTGGAGGTGTCATGTTTCTCCTCTCCTTTTTTTTTTTTTTTTTTTTATTATTATTGCTATTTTTTGTTTAAATTAAAAAAATAATCTTTGTAGACAATCAGAGGCCTTCTAGGAGGCTCTGCCCTAAGGGGGTACCTGCTCTCCACACGTGGGCCTGTTTCTTATACTAACTCATTGGAACTGATGCACTTTTCCTGTATTTTGCCTTTTTTAATTAGCTGCTTGTTCTTAAACAAAGATTTAAATGCATATTGTGTTGCGTCCCTTCTGCTTGTTGTTTTATCTTTCTTTAACTTTTAAATATATATATATATATGCAGTGAGACTGAAGTACTAAATGGAAGAGAAACATGCACAAGAAAATATGCCTATTAAGTCCCACCATTGTTTGAGCAGGTGTAACAATTTAATCAGAGGATTTTTTAAAAAATATTTTGGATGGATATTTTGCTTGTTTTGTCTGTAAATAGTGTACATAAGTTTGTGGTATATGACAGTTTTAAGTGGTTGTAAGAAAATTAAAAAAGATACTTAAACTGTTCCTGATGGTTTTGGTTGTTAATATAACGGCAAACGCTGCTGCTTACCCGTGGGTGGTTTTCCATCCTCCAAAAGCGTGGGGAACACTAGGTGGGGTGTTCCATTTTATGTCTAAAAGGAAATGCTGACTACATGAATACCACTTGTCCAGCATCCTTGTCAACAGCTCGTTTGGGTGGTACACACAGTTCCCTCAAAGGCAGGTACGTTCCTGCTCTGAGCCTCCTAAAGTACCAGATTTTGTTTCACGGGATGCTGGAAGTCCTACAACGGAGCTGAGTTCCCATTAATTGTTGCCTGTAAACCGATGTAGCCAAACCTTGCAGGCGCTGCTGCTCCTTCTGCGCGCTCCTCTGAAGGTCCACGCTATCCATTCAAGTCAGCATTTTAAACCAAGCTGCTTTGGTTTTCCACGAATAACACAAATCCCCCGGGCTGTTGGGCAGCAGCTCAGCCTTCCAGCAGCGCCGCTTGGCCTCCACACAACCACCGAGGGGCTTGAACCTGACGGGACCCGGGAGAAAACCCCCCTCGCTCAGCCCCTGCCCTGCCCTCAGCCGCCTCCCGCCTCCCTCCGCTCCCCGGGCGGCCGGGCCGGGCCCCGCCTGCCTCTGACGCGCCGGGGCGGGCCGCGGGCCGCAGGAAGCGGGGCGGGGGCCCGGCCTCGGCCGCCGCCGGGCTCGACACCGCCACAGCCGCCACCGCCGCCATGCGCCGCTGAGGCGGGCGCTGGCCGGGCCTCGCCATGGGGGCGCCGCCGCCCAACGGCAGCCTCGGCCCCACCGAGAGCCCCCCGCGGCCCGGCGAGCGAGGCTGCGAGAACGGGGCCCTGATGGACAGCTTCGGCATCTTCCTGCAGGGGCTCCTGGGCGTCGTGGCCTTCAGCACCCTCATGCGTGAGTGGCGGCGGGGCCGGGCCGGGCCTTCACACGGGAGAGCGGCGGGGAGAGGCTGCGGGGCCGTGCCCGGCCTCGCCTCAGCCCGGGCCGGGGGGGGGGGGGGTGAGGCCGCTGCTGCCGCTGAGGCGAAGGGGAGCGGCGGGGGCTCGGCGGTAAGGCCGGGAGCTGCTTCCACGCCAGCATCGTGCTCCCGGGGTTAGGTGAGAAGTTTTGCTGCCTGCCTCGCGTTGAGCCCGAGGAGCTGCGCTCACGGCAGGTGAAGCACTGGGGTCAGCCGGGCCGCCCTCATCACGGGGAGCCCGGGCGGCTGCCCCCCAGAAAGGCTCCTCAGGAAGGTGGCACAGTCAACACGTGGGTGTGCTGCTGGTGCTCTGCATCGAGACTGGTTTATTTTATTTTATGGAGATGTTTCCGCTTAAATCTTTATGCGTTTTGAGTATGCCTGCGGACTCTGTGAATATAAGGAAAAGCGAACACCCAGGACAGGCAAGGAGTATAAAAGCCTGGTTGCCAGCAGCACTTCCTAACTTCATTCTGCTTAAATATTTTTGAACCATGAGCCATTAGAAGGAGATAGTCAGTGACGTGCTTGTAATTGTGGGAGAGGGGAGTGGAAGGAAGGTAGCCAGTACCCACCCCGGTACTGGTAAGAAAGCGATCTGTTTCCAAAGGAAATTACAGCAAAAAAGTAGCAAACTGTTCTGCTTACACTGGAAAGCAGAAGGAGAATTTTGCTTGTCCCAGTGTTGACAGCCGCGTTGTTTTCCGCTTGACATTGGGGCTGTGCTGTAGCAGAAGGAGAAGCTGACCCTGCCACACAGACCAGTTGCACTGGTAAGAGAGCACTGGTCTCCCAGTTAGGTGCTGTGCTGCGCTGGAAGGGCTGATCCTGTTCAGTCTCCTTGTTTTGCCATACTGTTTCCAGCCTTTTTGTCGTACTCCAAGCAGCATCTGGCATGCTCTTCCAGAATCTTTCAAAGTTGCCTCAACAAACCCAGGAGGGCTGCTCTGTGCTCCACGTGGTAGATCTGATGTGAGCGAGAAGCAGGAACTGACAGCCGAGGAGGAGGAGAGGGAGACCATGACGGCTCCTCAGCGGTCACCTCGGCACCTCCGTAGCTGTTCCTGTCCCAAGCTGGCGTGGCAGAAGGGATGACACAGCCCCTGGAGCTGGATCATGCAACCGGTACAGTGAGGAAAACAAGCTGAGGGATGTGGTTGTCTTTAGGCTCAAGTATTTCCTCCAGCTGTTTGCTACAACAGAGTGAGCGGCGCTGAGGAAGAAGCGAGCGGCTGTTGGCAGGGCCTGCCCGAAATGCAGCACAGCTGTCCGGTTGGAGCTCAGCTCCCATTTAGTGTTAAGCCTCTGCATGGAGCTTCCCTCTGTAAAACGCCAGGGAGCTGAAGACATGGGACTGCCTGGCACTTAGATTTAACTGGAAGGGGCAAGCCTGTTTATTTTATTTTGAAAGGAAGCATCAGAGCTGTTCTGACACTTTGGATGCCATTACTCGTGCAGAATCCTCTGCTGGGGAAAGCAATGAGAGTAACATCAGAGATGTATTGTAAAACAGTTCTTTATGCACAGTGGCTCTTTTCCTTTGAAAAATATTTGATTTGATATCTAAACAGTAAGAATTTTTCTTATGTGGGTAAATCAGAGGGTGACCCAGGCTTGCCCTTTTCTTGATGGCTCCTGCTGTGCTTGCATTCAGTTGAATAAGGAATTATTGTTTTTTCTGGTCATAGTAACTAACTGCAAGAGGAGGGTCTTTTTGTGCCTCGTTACAAGATGTTCATCTCCAAATAAGTGAAGACCTATCCTTAAAGCAAAACTGCTTAAGATCTGATGCTCCAGATCCTTCCCGTGTGTCTGCCTGTCCGGTTGCCATGAAGTTATGTGGTCACCTCCCCCTCCAGTGGCATCAGCTGCACTTTGTCTTCCGAGGGCTGAACGCATCATTCGTTCTGTGTCAAGTTCTTCAGCGTGCTGCAGATGCAGTGCCTCTGGCAGCTGGGGCGTGCAGCCCCATCAGCAGCCTCCCCAGTACATCCCTTTGCTGCTGGAGGGGCACAGGCAGGAAAGTTGTGGCAGGGACGGATAATCTCTTGCTTTGAGCTGGTGAAACGAGCGTTTGAAACTAAATCCGAGGTTTTCTTTCCTTTGTAGCTCACACCTCCTTGTTCTGTCGCACAGGGCGTGAAAAACAGTTTACCTTTTTACTTTACAGTAGTCTCTTAAGTATTTGAGTGCTGTTACTCCATTTCCTCCACGATCAAATATACAGCTTGTTGTAATCCCCAGAGTTTTGCCTTGTAGTAAACAATTTGTCTAGTTATCAGCTGTCCTGGCCTTATTCCCTAACTCCCTCAGCCTAAGAATAACTCGCATTTGTTCTTACCACGTTAAGTTGTTTGAGGCCTAAGAAATGCACAACTTAATCAAAATCGCGCAGATTTCATACCTCTCCATCCCCTCTCCTTCCCTTTCTTCCTCTCTCGTGGTCCATAAACCAGAGGAGCGAGCTCCTCCTCTGTTGTCCAAGTCATGAGGGGACTGTCAGAGCCTGCTGGTGTGTGGATTAATTTCACCTGCTCTGGGTTCAGCTCTCTGCTGAGGAGCCGGAGGCACCCTGGGACGATTTCACCCGGGTGCTGCAGGTGTTCTGGTGTGCCCGGAGTCGCACAGAAGGCAGGTTAGGTGACTTCTGTGGCTTCTCTCCTAGCTGCAGGCTCTACATTGCTAAAAAAGGGAACACACTGATATAAAACCATTTTTTTTCCCCAAACCTGCTTGGAATGGCAGCCCTTTTGGACTCTGTCTGCTCATTCTCACATCTGTGAGCCTGGTTTTTGAAGCCTGTTTCTTAATTTTGCTCTCATGCCTAAGCATGCGTTGGTTTTCCAGCCTGGTTTGTTTAAGCCAAGCCACTTGGTAGCAGGAAGTCGTAATGGGTTTCCGCTGCCGTAGGGGGTGGATGTTTGTGCCTCACGTCCGCCAGCCAAAGATGAGACGTTTTTCAAAGTTTGCCCTTACAGTGCTCAGCTCTTATTTCATGGGGATATTGAATTAAAATGTCATGTTTGCTTCTTAGCTTTTATTTTTGGGTGGGCTATAGTTATGCTTTTTATTACTGGTGGCACAAAGCTAGTTTTAAATACTTTTTTATATCACGGTGTATTCTGTCAGTAATCCCAAGTACCTTCTGAGCATTCTCTGGTCAAGCTTTTAGTGATGAACACGGTGGGAGCACAGTAATCCCACACATCTATGACATAATGGAAAAGAATACAGTTATTATTAGCCAAAACTGCAAAAAGGTGTGGGGAAAAACATGTTGCCAGTCCCTTTATCCTGTCTGTCACAAGCTTTGTCTAGAATTTTGTCCTGGCTGTGTGCATTTCTCAGCAGACCCTTACCATGCCAGAGCATGGATGAGTTTGTGTCGGGCTGCATAGGAGTGGCTGAGAAATTAGATATAAATTGTACTGACAAATTAGTGAAATAGAGGAGTCCTTTGATGCTCTGCAGGTAAAGGGTTTGTGTCTGCCTGTAGGAAAGCAATAATATTCTGTAAAGGAGACAAAAGTGTGGGGAGCTGTTAATCTTTTATGGATTTTTTACAGTTTGTGTCTGTGCTCACACCGAGCAGGTTAAAGCTGCTGCGTTCTGCGAAGTGAAATGCTTGAGTGTAGGTGCTGGGAGTAAGCGAGAGGTTGGGTTTTCTGTGGAGGGTCACGGCTTACATACAGTACCTTTTATAAAGGTTTTTCTCTATTTTGTTCCTTGCTCTCTTTGCTTACGGTGTCCGAAAGGAAGAACCTTTAAAGGCTGCATTCTTATGTCCTTTACTTTACAGCAAGGTTTTCCCACCTGATAAGGCTGCCAGGAGAACGATTGCTGCTTGTACCGTAAGTTACCTTCTTAGACAGTTTCTTAGAATTTGAAATGCTCTAGCAAAAATAAAAATTTCAAGGGAATTATTTCATGTTTTCATCAGGGTAAGGGAGTATTATTACAGGTGTGAATGATTTGGAGAGCAGGGACTTGAGAACGAAGACAAAGTAACTCCAGCGACCTTTCAAAAAAAATTTGGCCTAAAGAAAACCATTAATTATGAAATACCTAAAGCATACCATTTTCAGGGCAAACGTTCCTGGCACTGCTGGTTGTAGAGCTCGTACCGCACATGAGTTTCAAATCACAAAGAGCGCACCTCGTGTGTATGAAGCCGTGAGCAGCACTGCAGGAGCCTGGTGGATTGTGCTGTGCAGGATGCACATCGTCCTCGTCCGCAGAACTCTGCACAGGTGCAGGTGGCGAGCGAATCGCCAGACGTGTGCAGGACGTGGACTCAGGGATCACCTGCGTTGGGACCCAAACAGGGTGTGAAGGACCATGCCAGAGGGAAGAACACCTCGGAGCAGCACCTCGGCGCTGTTCTGGCACAGAGGAGATGCAAAAGTGACTTAGAGATGAGAGTTGTGCTGGGCACCCAGTTGTGAAGGAAAGTGATTTGGTTATTTTGGACTGGTTTGGCAGGTAAGGAGGCAGAGCCTGGTGAGCCAGAACAGTGCTCTTGCCTGGAAAGCCGCAGGCAGGACCTGGGGTAGAACCAGGGCAGCCCTGCAGCTCCCCCAGGGAGGTGGCTGCTTGGGGCTGCAGGATCCAGGAGAGCCCCGTGCGGTCCTGCTGCT